GGGTACGGGTACGGATACGGGTATATCCGATACCCGACGGGGACGGGGATGGAGATGAAAATCTATACCCGACAGGTATGGGGACGAGGATGGGGATGAGTTTAACTTGCGGGGACGGGGATGAGTATCATGAAACCCGTACCCGCCCCGCCCCGTTGCCATCCCTACCTGCTATGCTAGCCTCTTCACGATTAACATTAAATCAAAGAATTAATTACGATTTTTATATGCACCTCGCAATCCAAGGAATTCTGGCTCAAATAGAAGGGGATGATCGACCCAAACCTTAGAATGTTCTATGCAACAAATAGAAAATCAACAAAAGTTGTACAATACTGATACCCTTGAATATTTTTTTTATTCATTCCTTTTAAGATGAATCTAAATGGTAATATTAAGAAATTGATAAGGGCATGAAGAAGATGGCATTGATTTTATGAAGAAGAATGGTAATATTTCAGCACAATCGCTCTTTTTTGTTGATCAAATTCCCATTAAGCACTTAGAGAAATTTCAATGGGAGTTGCTTGTCCTATGAAGCAACTCAAATCTCGGTTTCTTGTCATTGGAGGATTCTGACGTGGTAACATGAGTTGCTTGAAGAAGAGAGAGAGTTGCTTCCTCAAGCAACCGTTCCTTACCAGATTTTAAGCAGATCTTATTGAACATATTTAGAAACGTTTCGAAAATAATAATGATAAAAATTAATTTCGTATAATATTATGTATTTATTATTATTTTATTTTATTTTTAATATCTACTTATTGTATATTTTTTCTCATAATTTATTTTCTTTCATTGTAGCGTAATTATTCTTTTTAATAAAAATTTAAATTTGGTTCATAAATGATTAAAAAAAATTCTAAAAGTTAAATTTTTTAAAGTTTTTTATTATTAAAGTAAATTTGTGTTTGGGTTGCTTAATGCTGATATGACACACTAGAGACTACTTTTTTAATTTTTTAATGCATGAAGCAACTCAAATGAGTTGCTTCTATTGAAGATGCCCTTAATTCCTCACTGTTGAGGGATTTTGTGCCTCGGAATATGATAGATGTTTCATGCGAGAACGAAAACTCCAGGTAGCTAGCTGCAATGACAAGTGAAACAAAGCCTGCAAATACCTACACAAAAACTCTAACGTCAAGTCAGTAAGTAAGAGGAGGGATTTTGTTCCCCACCTCATTTTTTTAAAATATTTTTTTTTCTCTCCAAAATTTATTTTAAAAAAAGTATTTGATAAATGAAAATTATCATGTTAATTTATATTTAGAAAAAAAATATATGTAAGATTGATATATAATATGATATAAAGAGATAAAATGATATATAAATAAATAAATATTAGACGGAGAAATAACTAAATATAGTGAAATTTCGTTTACTCGGTCATTGAATATGTCATTTGGATGCAAAACTGTGGTAACACTTGGCAGGTTTATTTTCAAAGTACAATAGTAAGTGTGAATCATTAACTTGATTAGCATGCTCTAATTTCACTGCAGGTTTATTTCTTACGAGCATAGTAATGAAGAGGGAAGCCACAGTTTGAGATTAGTGATTCATGTATATATATTCTTTCATGAATCAGAATCTTTTTGAGTATTTGGGCTTGGAGACTATGCTCATAATTTTACCATACTTCTTATGGTATTAATGCACCAGATGAGTATAATGCAGAAGGCAAGATAAATAAATAGCAACGATGGGTTGTATGGGCTTGGATCTTCAATTGAAAGAAGAATATATAAATGGTCAAATTTTTGTT